AGTTTGACACATCCTCTTGGCATCAGCCTTTGAGATATTTTTGTTGAGATCTCCTCTCAGTCTTTTCTAGATTAAGCACACCCAGCTCCTGCAGACTGTCCTCATAAGAGAGATGCTCCAGATTCCTCCACTGTCTTTGTTGCCCTTTGCTGGAACCCCTCCAGTGGCTCCTTGTCTTTCTACCCTGTCCCCTCTCAGGGTGCTGTGCCCAGAGCCGCACTAAATGTGCAGATACAGCAGCTTGTGGATCCTGCTGCCTACATGGACAGAAGGCAGTGTGCAAACACTGCCTGAGGGAGGTTCATGTGCATGGGACAGACACAGCCCCTCTGTCACAGCTGGGCACAGAGGGGCCAGTCCTGTGCAAACAGAGAACTGCTGCTCCAGTCTGCATGGCCCCAGCTGGTATCCACATAAAAAAAAGAAAGCAGAGCTGCATGGCCAGACCAAGCCATGCCTTGCCCATGTCATTCACCAACTGCTCTTCTCAAGCTTCAGAAGCATGGACTCTGCCCCAAAATTAAATCCCAGGCATCTATTGATCACAGAAGCTGAGGTTTGGTACCAAAGAACTGCAGAGTGATACCATTCTTGAATACAATTCAGAGTAAGATGTATTTATCTAGTTTGTTTGCAAGTGTCTCACTGAATAACCTTGAGCCCACTGCAGAAACTTGCTGAAGCTTGTATTTGACTTTCTTTAATCTCCTGGCCATGCCCATGCTTTTCTACTGCGCTGTTTTGATGCACATCTCATGACATCTGATTCCAGATGCAGAATTACCCAGGTCCCAGAAAGCAGACCCTGGAGCACTGACAAAGCATGGGTGGTGCCCCATCTCACCCTGGGCTCTGAGCAGGCAGCAGCAGAGCCTGGCTGCCCTCCGTGCTCAGTTTTTCCCTCATTTTCAGCTTCCTTGGGCACTGGTGCAGTGGCGCAGACCTGCCCTCACCTGAACAACCTGGGCAGAGACTCAGCTGGTTTATCTTTGTGTGTACTCTGTAGACATCGATACCTGCTTCAGGCATCCAGAAAGAGCTGTTTTCAGGGCACAGTTCATCTGATCTATTCTAGATGTGAGATGTTAATAAATCACCCCCAGTGTCTCTTTCTCCCCTGTGACAACATGGGGAGCTTGCAGGGACTAGTTCAGACAAAGCATGTGCAGATGGAGCCCAGTGGGGGCTGAACCTGTGTTCAGCCTTTCAGCTGGAGCTTTGCAAAGGGCCTGATGTGGCTGGGGCTGTCAGACAACTAACCAGCTGGGACATGTGCAATATGCAGCTGTGGTTGCTTGCTGTTAAAGCCTTACTTACATTACAGTGTTGCAATCTGGCTCTCATAGGATAACCTAGAAACCAGATTCTTTGTGCAGGAGGAGGAGGAGGAGGATTTCTCCCCTTGTCTGACCCTTCTTCTCTGTGGGGATCTAAACACCCTCTCCTTCTCCTAATGAGCAGTCACACAGTGGCAGCCTCCTGGGCAGACATTCTCCATCTCTGCACCTGAAGTTGTTCTCATGTGTAGGTTTCTTTCAGATCATGAAGAAATGCATTTATTGGCACTTTTATATTCCTTGATATAAAAGAAGTTACATTGCCAGAAGCTGAGACTTCTGATGTTTATTGCAAGTGCTATTTATAACACCAGCATGAAAATGGAGCCTTTGAAGAAAAGCACAAGACCCCAGTAACATGATCTGACATAAACTGCTTGGGGGAATTAGACCCCGTCAAGAAAAGTGACCTGTGCTCTTCCCTAATCACCCTTGAAGCTTTCAGAGCAATGCCAATCCACAGATCTGGAAGCACTTCAGAGATGTGTAATAGGTGGAGACACAGCAATCAAAAGCTGTGGCAGAATTAGCACTGATTTCTGTTGACTTCAGAAAAAATTATTGCATAAGAGGCAGCTGTAGGTCGGGAACTGCTGCCCCCCAGTCAGTCTGCTTGAACCACCAGATGCCTTTCTTCCTCTTCTAGTCTCAGCTTATCAGTGTCATCAGTCTAAAATAAATGGCACCAAAGTTCACACCTTGTATCTGTGTTCACAGAGGCTAACAGAGCTGTTGAAGACTAGAGAAGCTGTTCCCCTCATCTAGTCTGACCCTCTACAGCACACAGCAGCAGTTCTTGACTTCTGAAAGCTTCAAATGATGGAAAGGGCTCATGTTCTTAGCTAATTGTTCCAATTATCAAATGCTTTTATTGTGTAGAGCTGCACTTAATCTTTGCTCTCAGTCCATCTAGTGGCAGTTCTATACACTGACTCTGTGTTCTCAAAAGACTTCTGAATTTAAAAAGCACAAAAGCTCCTCTGACAATGAGAAGAGGTTTCTAACGTTTAAAGCTGTACTGCACAGTGTACTATAATCTCTATTCTTTGAAAAAATATATGTTGCTTTTATATTAGAAGTATATTTTCATGTATTGTTTGGTACAATAAGTAACAAGTGTACACCTGGGTCAGTCAGTTCTGCCTTCCCTGCTTTTGTCCTACCAAAGACAAGCCAGAGACATGAATGGATGTGCTTTGGCTCAATGAGACCAAGAATTCATTCTTGGTTCCTTCACAGAGAGGAACACCAATAGTAGTAGGTGCAGCTGATAAGAAAATGGTGCTGCTTTAGCATAAAGTTCATATAAAACCTTGTTATTCCTTGATTTTGTGACTCCTAAGCAAGGGAAGTAATCCTCTGCATGTCCAAAATAAGATTTTATAGGAAAGATCAAGATGAAGAATGAGTTAGAACAGGAGATCAGAATTTCACATATGGAAGCAACAGTGTAAGGAAGGGTGAAGCTGTGCTTTATGGTCAGCACACTTGTTTCCTCATGCAGAGAGTTGCGTGGGACTCACAGGATACTTTACCTTGCTTAAACCTGTCTCCCCCCCACCCCCACCCCAGATGCTGAGTACACCAGCTAAACCCACCTCAACTGGGTGCAGGCATTCCAGGCAGTGTTAGTGCTTGGATCTGGCATCTCTTATATCCATGGTTCCTCTTTGCTCAGCTGTCATTTTTTCTGAGACAGGAGTATGAGAGCACCATGACAAGAGCAGTTGGTTTTCACCCAGCTGTTGCCCAGCTGTGGGAGAGCATGGCACCAGCAGTGCCATGACACTGTGTTTGTGTACATGGAGCTCAGAGCCCACTGTGATACCAGGTTATGCTGCTGTTAGGGCTTTTTGCCTAAGAAGGAAGGAAATAAGTTTGTGCAGTTCAGCAGCAGGAACAGTAGTAAATAAAGACGAGTATTTATCTGCATCTTTTCCAGTTTCCTGGATGAAACAACAGCCTGTTTATCCCTTTCCTCAAAAAAAAAATTATTCATCTCTTAATCACTGAAGTAGAATGAGAATCATCAAGGAAGCAAAGCAGCTGTCCCAGAGAAATGCCCAGGAAAGTCAATACAAAAAGCCTGTGTGTTTTCCTGTCATGAAAGTAATGCAGTTAACTTCTTCAGGTAAGAAAATTTAATGTCTGGAGGTGCCAGGTGTGCCTATGGGTAGTTTGGTGTCAGAGTGCTAGGAGGATCTGCTGAGAAACTGCAGTTTCTTTATGGTTGGAAACTCACCTGGATATAAATTGAATGTGCTGTATTTACAGCTAAAAAATACAAACAATGGTGGGTTGGAGCACTGAATGTGTGGTGCCCCTGTTGGTGCCAGAAGATCAAACAATGTTATGACAACTGCCATGGACACAGTAAAGTGATAACGTTCTCAGAGAGTATAAATCACTCTTTCCTGTCTGTATTATTGTGGTGTTCATTACACACTGGGGTCCTGATTGTGCAATGAAGTGGCATTTGGCTGAAGATGATTTGTATTTGTCAGGGAAGTTGCTCCCGAGCCGAGCCACTTCTCTGGAGCACAGAAAAGAGTTACAGCACCATGACAGGTGCTTTTGTGAAGTGTAGGATCCTTGGAGAAATTCCTGTGGATTTCTCCATCCAGATCCTTTGTTGTGTGACAAAAACGGTGTATGTGAGAGACTGAATAAAATGTTCATTGACTGCCCCTGCTCAACTTAAATCAGAATTTTCTTCTGCCACCTGATATCAGTCCCTTGCTGTCAGAAAACTTTGCAATCAGGAAAGTAAATAAACCAAGACATAGAGTATAAAGTCATCATTTATAATTATTTTTCTTCAGATTAAAATAATTTTATAAAATCTTGTTGAGTTTGTTTTATATCAGGTTTTTAGATAGCACTTACATTATACACGCTCACTCTCAGAAAAGATTATTTCAACCCATGTGTTTACTGTCATTATTCTTTTGAGTATATTCCACTTGATTCTGTAAAGCACTAAATGTGCCAGAGGAAATACCAAAGGTGAAGATATTGAATGCTCTTAGTGTTACAAAAGATAAATAAGCTGAAAGTGTTGACAGCCTGAGATACCACAAGAAGCTTTGGGTTTTCTCTACTCCAGAACTGCTTTCAAGCCATGGTCTTTTCTACAGCAAGATGGGAGGGCAAGGAAGGGTTGAAATGAAATACTGAATGAAAATAAAATATTTTTAACTTTTACCAGCAAACATTTCTACCCTGGTGTGCTTTTCACTCATTCAGTTACTCAGCAGGGACAGGAGACCCCATTTATTGTTGAGAAAACACATCTGTGTATGCTGCCATTCCCAAAAGCAATCAGAGGATGTGACCATGCCTGCCAGAGGTGCAGACTTTTCTAGGGGCAAACTACCAGAGTCTGTAGGAGGCAATGGGCACTGAATGCTTCTGTCCATGACTCTGCTTTCTTTCCTCTTTTCTCCTGCTCTTACATGCACCTGCCAAAGGTACATTCAGACTAATCCTGCCTTTGTGTCTGGTTTACAAACCTTATAGCCACCTTTTGTTTTACAGCCAAGAGAGACAGAAAAATCACGTCTGATTCTTTGGCTGTTCAGATCAAGGGTCAGTTGGGAGAAGCCTTGGAGTCTCATGCTCTCTGGCTTAATAACAAAGCAGAGGTCATTTTGGGAGAGGAGGTCAGTTCCTGCCGTAAGGGGCTGGTGAGGATAACTCCCCATCCTCAGACTCCTGTTTCTTCCTTTGCAATCTCAGCCCAGATTGGCCTGGTGTTTCTGATTGCCCTGCTGAGGGCTTGGAAGCTGGTTTTGTTGCTGCAGTCAGCTCTTTCCTCTTCTCTGAAGGTTCTTTTTCACTTGGTGCCTCTGCTGTATCCACCCCTAGGCCTCTCTTTTCTGTGGCACTGGAAGTTACCTGCATAGCCAGCACTGGCTGAAGGGGCTCATTGCTCTTCTTCCATCTCCGGGCCCCCGACTGTGTACTGAACTCGTACATTCTGCCAGTAACTTGCAAGAACAAAAAGACAACAGATTAAAATAATTCTTGCTTTAGCAGATTAAGACATGACAGTTCTCAGCATGGGATTGGAATGAGAAACAAGAAGCACTTGGAATTCAGCTGAGCTGGGGAGGTGGCCCAGAGCAGGAAGGCCTCATTTCTGTGGGGACCTGGGCATTGCAACAGCCACTCAGAGATGTTGGCTGTTCTGCCACTATAAGAATTGTCTTCACAGTTAGGAGAACAAGGATATTTAAAACATTCCTATTCCAAAAGAAATAACTTTCTTATCACCCTATAACTCTATCCAAATTCCAGCTACCAGGGATTAACTTGGCCAGTGTAACAAACACATCCATAGTTGAATGGACAAAACTTCTGTCTTTAACCATACTAAGCAAGACCATGGTATAGTCTGTGCCTATTTTGTCGTGTAGAGTTTCCTACCAGAGGTAGCAAAACCTTCTCAGAGGCACAATATGCTACATACACCTTCCAGGCCATGTCAGCTCACCTGGACTGACCCAGAATTTGGAGATCCAATGAGTTTTGGCTGTGTGAGTTCCTTCTCCTTTTGTGTAAAATGCTTTCTTCCAGATGCTTTCTTCCACTTTGCCATTAACAGAGTGAAGTACTGTGTGTTTCATACAAGTACATGATTCTCTCATATATATAAAATATTGTCAAATGCGTGTTGTTTAGCACACATGGCTACCTTCCCTTGTCAGAAAGATTTCTATCTCTATTCAGGTTTCATTGGTAACTTCCACTTGTACATTAAAAGCAAATATCCTGTCCTTCAGTTCACTGCTACCAAGAGATAAGTCTAAAAATTACCATGTGTCCACTGTGATCACAGTCTAACTCAGTGTATGTTGCTAAACAGAGAATCAGAAGCTATAATGACACTTTCTGTAATTAAACATTAGCAATAAGAGACAAACAAAAGAACATTAAGACTTGGAAAGAAACAGTGGTTATGTGTTACTAAATGTTGCAGTTTGTATCATGATTAATCGTTTGTGACACATTAACACAATTTGAGCAACTCAAGATGAAACTGGATCTCTTTACATGTTATTTTTTCTGACGGCTTATAAGGCGGGCATATTAAAGTGGCCCAGGTCAGGAAACAGGCTCTGACCATCCCTCCTAATCATACTCAACAGATGATGTCCCAGGAATTATTAAATCTCATTTCCAAACCAGAAACCTTTGAACCCTTAGGGTTTGCATCAAGCTGTGGGGAAGAGAAGGAAGAAATGGGGAGCACACATTTCCCTGCTGTCACCACAGAGCTGTGTTAGAGCTTAGTGTTTGTGTCAGGCATGACACAAATGCTACGGCTCTGGATGGCTCTTTGAATGAGCTCAGACATCCTTAAGTCCCGTATGTTTAGGTTGGTTGAGAAACACAGCCCCAGCAGCCATGCAAGAACACTGGAAAGCAGCTCTTTCAGCAGCCTAGAGACTATTCATGTTTAATATATTAGAAATGCAGTTACACAGGGGAAAAAAGCAGGGACTTTGGAGCCCATTCTTCCAGATCTCTTTATAAATAGCAGGTGAGCTTGGACCTGGATGAAACTGGCCTTGAGTAGGCTTGTGGATGGGTTTAATTGCACAGTAGGGTCCCACTTGTTTGCCCAAATTGTACTGAAGTCTCTATGCCTAGAGTTTCCCATTAGCCCAAGGCATCCAACCACTCTGAGCCAGCTAATAAGAAACACAAGTCACAGGCACTTGGGTGGAAATAGGCCAGATGAATCCAAGCCTTGAAACAAGCCTTCTTCTGGATGATTTCTAGACCTATTGTTTCAGACCTATTTTCAGATCTATCTGTTAAAAACCTATTTTATCTGATTGTCACATTTTACCAGCCCCCCCCCTCTCTGTGCCGGGGCCCTCAGCCATTAGGTACAGGGCTGGGCATCCTGATTCCAGGCCAAGCATCAAAGTAAGGGGCTCAGGCAGGGGCTGTGTTTCAGGGGAATGAGGTAAGCCAGATCAACCCTCAGGAAAACAACAATATTTTTCCTGTAATGAGCCCTGCTGCAGAGCAGTGGCTGTCATCTGGGAAGCTGGATGAACTCCCCAGTTCATCCTGAGGTTTGTAGCTTTCTCCTCATTTTCACTTTTCCCGGCTGGTTTATCAAATATGCCCAGAGTTTGCAGAGCTGGAGCCTGGTGACATAGTAGCTGTCACCAGCTGATGGCTTTCCCTTTTCTCCCCTACAAGCAATGCTTGAGCCTTGAATAAACAGCAGCAATGCACCACTGCTGTAAGGGAGGAGGTTTGTGCAGGAGCCAGCAACTCACCCACCCACCCTGCATCCAGGGAGAGATTTAGGAGGCAAAGGCAGCACTTCTGCAGTGACATTAATCTCCTGGCCATTTCCCAGACATGAGATTGGTGAGACCATGTAGCTATGACAGCACCAGGGCAGGAGACTTGCAGCAAATTCCTCCTCCCCTCCCACCTTCCTATACCACATCCATACATTCCAGTTTAGCAGAGTAGTGAACAGCATGACCATCAGATTTGTGCTTTCAAGGGCTGTAAGTAAATTCTACTATTACAGATGTTACTGAAGCACTGTCTTGATTTTCATTTGAGATACAGCTCCCATTCTCCTTGGAAATAGCAAACTGGACATATGAAAAGCCAATGTTAAACCATATTTAAATCAACTAATCCAGTTTGGTTACAGCCTAGTATTCATGTCCTCTGATAATTGCTTTTTATTACCTGGGTCTCTGGCTTCTCCATCAAAGATGGTGTTTAGCTTTGTCATTGTCTGTGAAGAAACACAAAATGTGAAATGATACCTATGAATTAGTTAAGTCAGAAGGAGGAGCAGTGACTTGGAAATGGTGACCTACATGGATGGAGGTGGATTTGTGTGACCTGTATATTGCATTCCTTTAGGCTGGGTTTAATCTAAACTGGCAACAAGAACCATTTGTGGTGTAGGGTTTCATCAATAAATATTTAAAGGAGAATTAATAAGTTCTGACATGCTAAATGCCTCCATGTGTGTAACCACAAAAGGGTCTCCTCCACCCAGAGTAGCTTGGGAATCCCCTCTCTGAAAAATCTGGGGAGAGCGAGTTCACTGATCAAAGTGCCTTGCACAGATTCACAGAATCTCCTGAGCTGGAAGGGACACACAAGTGTCATCGAAGTCCAGCTCCTGGACCTGCAGAGAACCACTCCAGGAACCATGCCACAGGCCTGAGAGCACTATGTCTATTTATGCAATTATGCAGCCTTTATGCAAACATATCTATGAAAAGGAAGGAGCCCTGAGATCCAGGAGCTAAGAAACATCTCAACAAAATTACATTTTGCTGCAAACAGCTTATCATGGCCAAACTCCATACAGCTGGCATACCTTAACTGGTTGCACCCTGGTGGGTCAGAGTTGGTTCCACAGGTCAGTGGTGTCTCAGCAATGCACTGCTGCCATCAGTGAAGCTGGGGCACTTGTCATCCCACCTCTGCAACTCTGCAGAGTGTCCCTGTCATTGTGGGCACAGCCTGTCTGACCTCCCAAGTACAGCATTTTGGCACTTGGAAGCAAAGGGGCCCCAGTGCAAGTGACCACCCCTCACACCCCATGCTGCTTCCAAACACAGAGACCAGATGGGACAACGAAGTGATTTGCACTTGAGGACAATCATTTTTTCCTTTCCTATCATTTTCATATTCTCTTTGCAAAACAGACACCATTCATAAAAAGGGTCCAATGATGGTATCGCATTATGGGGCTGGCAAAACGCCTTTCCTCTGAGGCCAGCAGTACTTACTACAACCACTTCTTTCTTAGGCTTCTTCTTTTCTACAGAAAAGAAAATGCACACTGTTAATAATCAGAATTCTCTGATAGTGACTGTAGATACTAAAGTTAATACTTTCTCAAAGAAATAGACATTCTTTCTGCTCAAAAGCTGAGACATCTTAAATGAGTCTTATTTCTTTTCAAAAGCTGAGTGAGAATCCACAGTTGCCAGTGACTAATCAAAAGACTAGTCTTGAAAACTCAGTAATGAATAGCAGTGGTTATCAAACAAGCTTCCCTTTCTAAATAATATGAGCAAATACAAGAATTCACCTTTGAGAATAACTGAACCAGAAATGCAGATTATTGTTTTACATGAATATTTGTGGTTGCAAAGCATGTGTCAAATATCAGCTTGGAGACAAAACATGGAAAAGCTGCATTTTCAGTCAAGCAAAATTCAGACTGAAGAACAGTTTGGTTGTGTGCAAATTTACCACACTATTAACTCATCCCACATGCAAACAAATACAACAGCAGTGCCATGGGCATCTCGACAGCATGGATTTGTGGATGATACCTAACTAGCTGCTATGAGGGCTCTTCTTGCTCACTCCTTGCCAATTTGTTTAATGGCCTTTCTTTGGAGAATTGTGCCTGGCCACAAATGTGCTTTGCAGCCAGGTGTGCAAAACTCTGAAGTGCTGCAGGTGGATCTCAACCTGAGCAGTGATGGGAAACCTGTTGTGTCTGGACTTTGCTGCCCAGCATTTGGGAACCAGTTTTTCAGAAAGCAAAAAGCTTTCCCTTTTTGGAAACCAGCCAACACTGAAATGTCTCAAACTGGGCAACCAAGAGAACAGCTAATTTTGTGGGGTTTGTTAGTCCTGTGTTTTTTCCAGTTGGAGACACTGACTGAGGAAAGTAGAATTACAAAAGCAGGGTCCAACTAAGCCCATATGAGCAATGCTTTTTAGCAGAAATGCAGTAGGACTAAAAAGAAAAAGTGTGCTTAAAAAATCATGCTTTTCCATGTGTGATTTATCTCCCTGTGAAGTTATACAAACCCCTTTAAAAGCACTAATACTTCAAAATAAATCTTTATTTATGTGAAGTAATGGTGTCAAGAGAGCAAATGAAGTGATCAGAGAACAATGATCTCTCTTGAAGGTGCTATAGATGGCTGGGATTGTTTTTAGAAAGATAGCACATAAATTGTGTGTGAAAAATGCAGTTGTTCTTGGCATCCATGCCAGAATACCAGACTACTCTGAATTTGTGTTTTACCTAATAGTTAATAGATTTGAAGACTAAAAAGGCCATGAAATCACTTTGTCAGGCCTTCCACAACTGGCTAAGATTATCTAATCTCAGTACCCTTCTACTGTGTCAAATTTATATCTAGAAATTAATTTACATATTTTACATGGAATCATAAACAAGGTCTTGCTTTGAAGCATTAAAATATAGAAAAGAGCTACACACCTGGAGGATTTATCCTGTAATGAAAAGAAGATTAAGAGCGTAGTTAACAAATGTCATGGTTTTCCCTACATAAAAAAAAATCATTGTTTTTATTCTCTTTCACTTGGCAAGAAGGATGTGTTCTGAGATTTGCTTGATTTATTTGGTTTTCACAGAAAGCCATTTAATTTATCATATCATATCATTTAATGCTGCTCTCAAACAAGAAAACCCTAAGACTTCTTCAAGAAGGAATGTTCTTAAAATAATAAAGTCTTATTGATGATAGCATAATGGATTTATATAATCTGAAAAAATGCATTTTCAGATATTGTCATTTTGTCCCATCCTTGGAGGAAGGTCAATTTTTTTTGATCTGATGTGCTCAAAGAATACCTTTTAAAATATTTGAATGGTTATAAATGTTTTTGAAAATATAGAAATTGCTTTTTAATGGGAGACCCCAGCTGCCAATAAATCATTTGCCCAATTAATAAATAATAGCAGTATCTTAGATTCATTTGTCATTTTTATCACAAGCTGTTAATGCCTTGCTCACACTATTTGATTATAGTCACGGTGACATAGTAGTTCTTTACATTTAATGGAACTTCTAAATTGATGTCCAAATCCTGAGAATACTTGTAGAAATCCCTTTTTTTTTTTTTTTTTTGTAATCCCAGCCACTTAAAGGACTGCTTATCTTTGTTTTGTGAAGTACAAAGTGAATTTAGAGGCAGCCTGGCTCCAGCCCACTGAAAAGGCAGCCAGCAGGGATCTCTGCACTTCCCACAATGACTCGGAGCTGGTCCCAGGTGCTTCCATGCCTTTTGCCAAGCACGAACACTTAGAGGTAAGCTTTATGGGCCAGAGCCTTGTAACTGGCTTGGTAAAACTCCAGGAAATCTGCAGAAGTTTTGCCAGAACAATGAATTTGGCATGAGCACCAATATTTGCAAAGGACGCCAGGATCTGTAGCTGAGAGGGAGGAAAATGCATCCAGTAACTACCTAGATGGGAGCTCCCTTGGAGTGGGGGCAAATACAGACCAAAATATTTGTGATCTGACCCAGGCTCTGACTGAGCCTCATGAACATAGCTGCCTTTAGAGATTATAATTGCTAATTCCACTCCTACCTTCTGCTAATGTTAATATTATTAAACCCATGGGAAAAAAATGCCGTGGACGCATTTCCTTGCGTTCATACCATTAACACCCAATACCGCTGTACCTGCTATTAGCATTTCCTACAGTACAGGGCGTACCGCTATGAAAGATGTAAAGCAGCGATATGAGGGCGGCAGAAAGGCCTGAGCCACCTCTGTCACTGCGCTGCTGGCCCTGTCCCGGTGCCGGGGACTCACCGCGGGGTGCGGCGGCCCTTCCGCGCCGGGGCACAGCGGCTGCGGAGCCCCAGGGAGCCCAGCAGCCCGAGCAGCAGCAAAGCACCGAGGGTGATGACGAATGGCACGTACCACGCCGACCGAGAGTAGAGGTTCTCCCTTTTCGTCACAACAGTGAAGCCAGGCTTTTAAAAGAAGACGGGAAGAGTTCCTCAAGGCTGCGTACTGACAGCAACATCACCTTTCACTGGCTGAACTTCTGCACCGAGGCACCCAGCCCGAGCTTGCCCCGGGGCTCTGCAGATGATGGAGGGAGGAGGAGGGAGACAGTGATTCATCCCATGTGCCTGCCTGCTGACTGCCAAGGCAGCTCAAATGCCTGGGATGAACCAGCGAGCTCCTGGGGCAACCAAAGGCAGGTGAAATGGAGCCCACCCACAAGGAAAAGGGGAGGTTCCAGATCACGTTTCAATATCTTATATTAAAACAAGCATGTCGTGGTGGAGTTTAAAACCCTCAGGTTGCCTGAGAGGCTGTAAGCACGCTGTTGGAGGGCGGGCAAGTTCAGGGAATACTGCCATTACTGAGATAATGTTTTCTTGTTACCAAAGGCAAAACTGGAAGTGGGTCATCTTCACTGCAGTGATCATTCAGCCTGCTTTGTAAGAGGAGTTGAACCCTAAGGAACTGGATTACTGTATAAAAAGAAGTGGAACTCCTTTTTTACCCAGTAACTTGTTCCAGAAGGAAAAACCACACTTCCTGAGCAGTTGCAATCTCCCACATCTTCCTGAGTGTCAGGAGACACATATCTGAGCTGGCACATCACTTGGTGCTAGCAGCTCATTCATTAAGGTCCCATCATGAAACTATCCTCACACATTTCAGAAATTACTCATTTACTCTACGTGGTTCATTACCTAGTGTGATACTATTAGTTTTGATCATCTACTGAAGTTTTTATTTAATTTTCTGTAAGGCATTTGTAATCACACTGAGTATGAAATTGAGCAGGGTATCTATTTCTTTCCAGTTTAAGGATAATTTTAAAATAATCTACTTAGTCTTGTCAAAAAAAGATACATTCAAGCCTTAGAGAAAGGCTCAAATAATCTCAAAATCACCACCACCACTTTATCTTCACCTGCACTGAAGTCACAAGTTACTTTTTGTGATGGGGCTTCTTTTCTACACTACCAGCTTTCCAGTTTCTGACTCATCAAGTTGCTGCACTGAACACATGTAAAGAATAGTGATGGGAGAACCTTCTGTAATGGAAGTGTTCTTCTGGAAAACAGCCTGGAAGTGGAAGGCTGATATCTCTGGGGAGACACATTTAATGTTGTGGTATGCGGTTGAGACTGCTTGTATTTGTGGTAAAGCACAGGAAAGAAATACAGAATAAGTTTATTCAGCTTAACTTTTCATTTCCACATCAAGATTTGCTCCCAAAAGAGCATTAGATAAGAACAGGGTTATTAATCAGTCTGAAAATTTGGATCTAAGCATTTTCACAGCAAAGCAACTAGACTTGTATGTGCTGTTTGCAGGATCCTTTGATTCTGGCTCAGTTAGCAGGAGCCTCTAGAAGATCTAGACCATGTTAGGGCAAAGGCCTCTTTCACCACTTCTCTTGGATACTCATTTTCATTCCTGAATGCCAAAGAGCAAAGGGTAATGCCTACTGCAGGCAGGCAGGGAATGGATGGACTGTGGATGATGGAAGATGGTGCAGTAAGGCATGAAGGGATGACAGGTACAAGGATAGGGACAGAGTGATCCGTACCCTCAGGCTGTGTCACATCTACAGGCAAGACAAAAGCAAGTTCTCTGCACATCCTGCACTAGCCTAATGGAAAACAGCTTCAAAATTAAACTGGTAAGACAGAACTCAACTGGGATGGTTGTGCAGAGAAGTGAACAGTACTGCCTGGACACAGGCCCACAGCTCCACAGGCTGTGCAATGTTAGATCCCACCTGGGCTGCCAAAAGTTGTGCAGGCTTCCTCAGCTCAGCTATGGACCATCACATGGGCATGGAGTTCAGGAAAGACCCATCCCAGCCCTCTGGATTTGCTGTCTGAAACCTGCTGAAACTTCAGCAGCACACTGAGGCTGTGCAAAACTGCTTCAGTTCCTGACATGCTGCTCCAAGTTTTACATGACAGTGACCTCAGGTCTGGAAAAGAGACCCTTTTAAGACATGAGGACTTGTTGTTGTTGTCTGTTTCAACTTTGATAGCCACAGATTAATGTGCTCCAATGATAAAGAAGTACACAAAACTGTGAGGCAGCTGGGAGGGTGAATAGTTATGAATAAAAAAAGAGGTAGTGCAAAATGCATGAGGTAATTTTAAGGTTCCAGGCAAAGGTTAATCCCTGCTCTTTCCTTATTAATAAAGCTGCCAAAATCTTTAACTTTCCAGTTGCATGGTAATGGCAGCATGCCCAGTCCTTTGGCTTCATGCCCTTTTTGTTTTAGAAATACAAAACACGTGTTATGACTCTGTACCTGGGACTAATCCTTCATGATACTGAGCACATCCACCACCTCTGGCTTCATCATAAGAGTTCAGGGCTCAGAACCTCCCAGGACTAGATGCACTCTAGGTTTTTGCTTTCTTTTTGCATAGGTATTTACTCCTGTGGAGATTACTCCATAAAAGAAATGCAGAACTGGACATAAGTTTTAGTGAACTTACTGTAGTGGTTGTGGCAGTAGTGGGGTTTGGGATAACTCTGATGCTTAAAGTCACCGTTCCAGTTTTAATTAAGTGTGTAGTTTTGTCCCTGGCAGATACTAAATTGTCATCTGTTATGTGGACATTCAGACTGTAAATCCAGTTTGTATCAAGTCCACTCTCATAGTCAAACCTTGATGCAAGAATCAGACGGGATGTGTTGGAGCCAGCACTTGGTGAAAAGATGAAATGTCTATTTTCATTGCCTGCAAAAAGGTAACACCAAAATGCAAAAAAAATTACTTTAATCCCATATTAAAGTAAATGTGTATAACAAGTGGTGAGGTGTGGTGAAATGTCAATGACAAGAAGGGCTCCTTGATCTTCCTTGTACCATATAAAATAATTTAAAACAATACAGTCATAAAAGCATTGCAATCTAGAATAAGACCTTATATGGGGACATAGCAGAGTGGATGCTGTGGGAACACTTCAGAGCCATAGGGCACACAAGAGCATAGGTGACCTGAATGACCTGGACTTAGAACCTGGGGAGCACCCAACAACACCCTGCTGGGGTGAGGATCCTTCATTGTGGCAGGGCTCATTCTGCTACTGGGGCGTCCCTGGAGTGTTGCTCCAGCCCCTCTTCACGGCTTCTCCATCTGCCTGAGGCAGTGGCCTTCAAAGACAGTTAGACTTGTGACATTCATTGCCTCCAGTGCTCTGTCAACATCATGGGGCAGGGAGGAGAGTTCAGAAATGCTGGCTCCCCACCCCTTGCTTTCTGTCCATTGTAGCTGGATATGGATGCTAATTCTAAAGCAGGCAGCATAGTTCCTGTGAAGTAGCAGGCCACATAGCTTTCTCAGTCTTGCCTGAGAAAGTGGCCTGGGAAATCATGGGGAGGAATTAAAACAATCCTCAGAGATAGAGAAAGCCTTGCAGGTGCTGTTTTTCTGTTCCTTGTTTTCTTGCAAGAGAAAGTCGAGGGGTGGTGAACCCCACTGACCAATGATGGTGATGTGTTAGTTTACTAACCAATAAGAGTTTTCTTTTCTGTAGTTTTCATGAATTGGTCTATAAAAAAGACCTGAGGCAATAAACCGGAGAGAATTCTCCTGTTCGATTCCACGAGAGAGTCTGTGTCGTTCTTTTCGCTGTTCCCAATAGAGCGACAGCTGGAGAGCTGCTCATGGCCCCAGCTGCAGGGAGACCAGCCCCAGCAGCTAGGATCTGGACAGACCACATATACAGGAAATCAGAGCCTTGAAAAGGCACCAAATATGCTTTGGTTTTGCTCTTGTGGCCCCACAGAGATGGAGTTGACATGTCCTTGAAGGCCATGCTGTTTTATAGCACAAAAAGGGCCATGAACTGCTCTGTGGCTAAGAGGCCAATGCACAACACAGCCCAGGTCTGTAGCACCAGGACTGGGCCTGTGGTCAGAGATTTACTAACACAGCCGTTATACAGATTCACATGTTAATACCATGTCTGCAGAGCTCCTTCTGTGGCATCAAGGGACTACAGCAGGACAGAGATTCTCTCTTTTGATGTTCACAACTTTTTGCTAGCACTTGAACAATCTGCTCCCTCCTTCACAGCAGTCACCTCAGCAGAAGGAATTTCCCCAAGGGAGTGTGCTTCAATTTTTGTAAAGCTGAGTGTCATCCCATACTACTGCAGTTCTCCAAGTGGATGCAGCTGATCATGAGGGTCAAAGAAGGATCTTAAAAATGAGGGTTCATTGCATACAGCATGGACCTACGACAAGCAGGTTCCAGCAGTTGTTTTGAACAGTGCACCAGCATCTATGTGATGATGAGATACACAAAGCTTTCCATCATTTCTCAAGATTTAGTCAGCTGTAATTGGAAGGGAAATTTGACACTGCACACCATTCCAGCTCATCCTTCTGAAGTTATATTCAATGTGTAATTAATAACCTATTGATTAAAATGGCAGGCAATCCAGCCTTGCAAGGGGGTGGTTCTAGCTGCCAGTACCAGTAGCACCAGTAGCCATCTTGTGGACAGAGGATCAACGTAATGATATGCAGAGTTGTGGATCACAGCTAGCACATCAGAAAAGTAGCACACAAACTATGTTAGATTTTTGTTTATAAATGTAAGTGAACTATCAGCATTCACTATTTTTTTTCACTGTTTCCAGCTCGCCCACAGTACCTTCATTAATGAAGTAACGGAAAGACCTGGGATCAGAATCACGATCTTGGCATTCAATCCTGAAGCCATTAATATTGGTCCCAACAGCTAAATTGACTGGGATTTGAAGTGAGAAGAAATTGGGTGAACAAACTGGTTCTTCATCATTTACTTCCAAAACATTCACGGTTACCTGGAAGAAAAGAGCAATATCAAGCTGAAGCTGCTTCAATGTACTGGGACAGATTTTCTTTTCATTTCAGAAACTGTTTGGTTTTGTCCATTCTGTTCTTTAGATCAACAACCATTGAAAAGCACTGAAGTCCCTTTCTAACCTAGCTCCCACCAGAAAATGTCTGTGGTCATCTGTCCTTCAATTCTTGTGATCAGCATTCTTCTGGAAACAAGTTCTGTAACCTGAGCCATCTTCCATAAGTGAAGGGTTTTCAAGATGACATGTCTGTTTGAACAACCTGACTTGTGTTATAGTTAAAATGAGAAATAATAATAGTACCACATAATCATTAAACTCCCTTCCAAAACTCTCAACTTGCTTCACAATCATTACTTAGGCCTCTTAGCATATTTAATAACCATTTAGAGTGTGTTCCATGGAAGCAAGAGTGTTTATAGACTCTTCCCAGTGAGCGAGAAATGCTGGTAATGGCCCCTTGCATAGATAGGAGCACCCTGAGTAGCACCAGATGTGTTTGATATCATCCGGGATTAGCTAGCTAAAAGAAAAAGCTTTCCCTTCCCAAAGTTCTTTCTTCTAATGTCTGTTAGTCAGGCAACAGATAAACTTGACATTGTTAAAAGCTTCTGATGCTAAATTGTCATTAATTTTCACCTTGAAACATTGTAGATGATGAAGAGATTAAATGACTCCTAGGTAGCAACTCTAGGGGTGGTGCTTGGCTGGAATGAAAAGCGAGCCTAGTACCTGTGTTACCCCCAAGACATGTGTAAAAATCAAATGTAAAGGAGTCATGAGGGACAAAATGTGAAATCAAAAGGAGCCTGTCTGTGAAGGACACTGGGATTTGAAAGAAGTTACTATAAAATACCTTTGTGGATATAGCATCTATACTTTTTTTCTGAATAAAGTAGGTCTGGGCAGAAAACCTAAGCTCAACCCTTCTGTTAAAGGTTTTCGTGGTACCTGTCATGGTCTTGGCTCTTGCTAGATAACACCATCAGGAAAAAAAGGAGATCAGGGCAAGGGCACAACTCCAGCAGGCCAAGTGGACACAGCTACTGGCCCTCTGACACTAAACCAAGAGGCTGCCCAAGCCCTCCTCCCATCCACATCCTCTCTCTACCACTCCATGAAAACACAACTCTGATACGCTGCAACACAATTCTCACACTACTTCAAACACTTTTCAGGGAAAAAAATCACAAACAAATTCAAAAGTATGTTTGAGGGCCAAGGGACACCACACAGACTCTAGAAAAAATTTGCCACGAAGCATGGCTACAATTAGATTGTGTTACCTGGCCTCATGATCCTGTCCTTTTTCTGTTTTCTAGTACCTCTATAGCCATAAAGAATAACTTAAATTGCTTAGGGTGCAGAAAATAATTTCACTGTCCAGGTAAAATAAGAAAAAAAAAAAGTCTGAGAAACAAACATCACAGTTAAAAACATTAAAATATTATTTTATCCTTTTTGCGAGAAATAAACCAACACTGAGTGAACAACACCTCTTTCATCTGAGTAATATATTACTGGCAGGGTTGAACCTGCCTTTTACAGATCAAAGTGTTTTGCCCAATGTCTTATTATTCTTGCTAGGAAGAAGAGAAAAAGATGTAGGTAAAGGCGAAGTAGTAGAGTGGGTTTACTCACTGATGCTGTTGTAGACTTCTCTTGGTCTGAGGCCTGTACTATGAAAATATGTTTCTGAGTTGTTTCATAGTCTAATCTAGCTAAAATCCTCACATCTCCTTTTGTTGGGCTGATCCAGAAGATATTTGTGTAATCCCTGGTGCCAGTTGCAGCTACAATGGAGTAAGTGATGACACTGGGTGGACAGTCCTTGTCTGTGGCATGCAGTCTTCCAATGCTAGATCCAACTGAGAGACAGAAAATCCATATTTCATTCACATTTAAAGTAACAGAAGGTGCAGATGAAACTGAGCTAAAGATTTGGTTTAGTTTTAACTAAAAATTAAAGCAATGGTGGGATAAGCACTATTTCCCTATGGTGTGCTATGGCTCCCCTGTGCATGGGTTGCTAGCAGTAAATACCAAAACACAGGAGTCTCTCAAGAACCTCAGCAGAAGTGCTCTGTAGTTGGGCCAAGGGAGTCCTCACTTGTCTGTGTCAGTCTGTAAAGGTTTCTGTGCACCACAGTCCCTCCAAAAGGCTAATTTAGCAAGAGCAGAAAGACAGTGTAAAACAAGACATCTGAGCTCAGTTCCTGGCACTGTCCCAGATTTCTTGTGCAATTGCTGAATTTGTCTGTGTCTCAGCTGCCATCTGTACAATTGGAGTTTTTGCCAGTTTAGTCTATTTAAGGGTAGTAGGTGGTTGTATGGTGAGACCCTAGTTGAACTGGAACTTTGAGCCATTTGCCTCATCTACATATATGAAAATTCATTTGGAGCGAAAAGGCACTTAACAACATGGCAACATTATTTCTATCATTTAGGTTCTATTTACTGTACCTTTAGTAATTTCTGAAACACTAAATACATAAGATAAATTACGGAAGACTGGAAAAAATTCATTCACTGGCTTTATCCTGATGTAAATGTAGATGATATCTGGAAATATAACAGAAGATTAAATCATAGTTAAGTATGGCTGTGAAATTTTCTCATGCATATATTCAAAATACATATGGTATTCTTCTCTCCATGCTGTTACAGCACAGAAAACTATCAAAAGAAATGTAAAAGGGATACTTGCTTGAGTAGGTAGGATGGGCAATATCTTGCACCCTGACAGTCAATGTATAAACTTCAATGCCTGGATTAGCTGGGTTTTCTAAATCAATAGTTCCATTGATCTAAATAGAAAGGAACATAATCATAATTATACCTCCATACATGAAGTCAGAATACACATGATGACAATTACTCTTTTCATCATTCTGTGAGTGTGATTTGCCCCTTGGGTATATAGAACAGTTCTATAGGAATAACATAGGCAAACAGTCAATTCCAGGATTGAATTCCAGGCTTTTTCTACATACTCACACTTCTGCCAACAAAATTTCTTCCCCTTAAGAGCAGAAATTTTAATCATTTGGATTATAAGGTCTTGACCTTTTACCTAGTCAATTCAAAGCTTGTGTAATGAGCTGGCTATTTACACTATCCTTTCTTGGCTCAACAAGGAATTGCCATTGTTAATAGTAATAGCTTGAGCTCATGCTGCAGACATTGAAAAAGAAGGTATCAGGTCCAGCCACGAGGGTTTGTCCAGGAACCAAGTTGTTACTAAATGATGGCTTGCACAGATTTAAATTCTAATTTTCTGAGCTCTCTATCTTTCTGTGGAACCCTCATAAACTTTGGGGCAGCAGGACCAACACACAGGCATCACAGGCTGGTTGTCTCTTCAGGGAGATTCCTGGAGGAAGAACTTACTTTGTATAATTTGTTACATTGTACATACACAACAATCAAAGGCTTGACAGCAATCATATCCTGTGCAGCAAGGAAAATTATTTTTATGTTGGCAGATGAGGCAGCTAAGGCCAGTTCTTATTGACAAGGAAACCTCAGTTCCAAAATTAAAGTAAACCATACAAAATCATTTTATTGCTCCTGTAGCACTCTTGTCTGCTAGACAGAATGCCTATTTTTTGTTGTTTCCCTTTTTTTTTTGTAGTTGCCCGTGGTTCTTTTTAAAGCAAAAAAAACCCCACCATTGCACATGTCCAGGAACTGGTGGGGTTCTGGCCAATGCAAGTCTGCCAGCAGCTGTCAGCAAAAAGAATCCATATTTTGACATGTGAAATCACAGAAGTGAAAATCCTACCACTTTTTCGTGAAATTTTGCCACTCAGAGTGGTTTTAAGATTCTGACCATTTACTGAGTTACTGAGATTTCTCAAGTATTTATATTCTTCATGCTGAATAGCAAGGATCTTCCACAGTCTGTCATGAGTAAATGGATAAGAAATGGCATCAAATTTCTCTGTTTTTCCATATCAAAGTTGGTGCTTCACACTCCCTAAAAAAGAATATTTTTTTTCAATCATATCTAGCACATTTATTTAAAACTGAAGAAAACAGTCTCTGTTCACTAAATTCTGTGGAATCCTTAGAAAGCATCCTATCTAGGGGTACCTAGTTCACAACTAGTCAAAACAGTTGTTCTCCACATAATACCTACTGTGAAATGGATTACAGTATTTTTTTTTCTTGTACAATGAATTAGAAAAATCCCTTATAATATTTCATAAATTGACTTCTCTATGGAGTAATCTAACATAAAGCCACAAATGACTGACCAGAAGTCTTCCAGACACAGTGGACTCCAGAGCAAAGTTATTGCTTCCGAAACCAGATAATCCAGTGAAACTAAATTGGTTGTTTGATGGATCAACATCAATATCTTTACAGTAATTTCTAAGATCAACAAGAAATGTTCCAGGAGTTGTATTTTCATTTGCTTCTTTCCTGTATAAAACAAACATATTTCCTGTCAGAGCAACTTATATTTCTCCTTTTGCACTCTTCATATATCACAGGCCAAAACACTGATTTATTTTTTAAGTGAAGTCCTAGATCTAAATATGCAACAATGGAGAAAGCAACCCAGAATCTGACTCATGTGTTGTGATGGACAACAGCCCTGTACAATGGGCAGGCTAATGACAAACGTCCACTCCAGCTGCAGATCTGGGGATGTACCCTAATCTGCTCACTGGTCTGGGGCAGAAAGGCAGTACCAAGGCAAGGAAGAGACTCCATACCTGAAGGCAGAAGGATTGCATTCTGGTGGGTTGTCATTGACATCATCAATAATGATTGTGATCTCCATTTCACTGGCATGGCCACTGCTGGAGCCATCCTCCACCCGGACTATCAGTGAAATGTTAGGATGGAGCCGCAGTGGAAGCACATCCCGGTCAACTCTCCCGGTCACCTGCAACACTCCAGTTGCTGTCAGAGAGCAGCCAGAAGTCAGATATTCACCATGGGAGAAAGCAACAAACTGTCATGGTGCATGTGCAAGAGGGTAGGCCAGCTCCACCGACAAGTAGCAGAACAAAAAGTCTTCTGCTCTGTGGAAATTGTGGCTGGTTTAGTTATTTTTTTTAAAGTGATACAAAATGGCTCTGACCATTCTGGGTAAGATAAATGGCTAGATACCATTGCTGAAAAATACACCTTAGGAGGCCTTAGCAGTGGGTTTGTCAAACATTTAGGTTTCTCTTACTCTCAAGCTTCTAGTGCAAGCCAGAAATGAGCACATTCACAGAGTATCAAGGACAATGAGCTGCTAATGTGCCTGTGCTGCCCTTGCTCCCCAGAAAGTAAGACAACTACACTTTCCACTGTTATCATTCAAGCATCCTTCAGCACCTCCAAATCTACTCACACATCAACAGAGCTGTGACAGACTGTGCCAAGTGCTCTGGTCAGCCACTCACTTAATACTGTTTTTTCACTTCTGTTTGCCTCTATCAAAAGTATTATGGAACAGTACAAGTACTATTCCCAGAGCACAAAGGAGTTAAAAGAACAGTGAATACATCCTCTGCATTTTGGAATGCAATTGAGGAGGAAGGTGGCAATACAACGCCAAAGGGTATAGGGAATCCAAAGTTTTAACCATCCTTATCCCCCACAGCACTGTGCTGTGTGGCACTTCTTACAACTGTGATAAACAGTTCTAAAGCAATAGCAGACAAGGGGAAAAGGTGTCACTGAATGCCAGCCCTGGAGGAAAAAATCCTGGGGAAAAAATGTACAGACCCCAGAGGGCATGAAGAAGATAGGGTCACCATCCTTTTTGGATGGTCTTGACCGAGGAGGGTCATGAATAGAAAAATGAACTTGAGGTATAGAATTGCTGTGCACCTCAGTGTTAGAGAGGGTTTTAGACAGGAGGGAAGACATCATGGTCTAACTACCTGCAGCTGTTTCAAGAGACCCAGAAAGGTCACTGCAGTCCTCAAAGATTGAAAATAATTCAGCAATCTTACTTCCACCCAAGGAGCCATGACCCTCCAGAAACAAGTCAATATTTGTCAAGAAGTCACCTTTGGTCTACTTTCTTCAAGACACCTTACCAAGCCTTGGTCAGCTGACCAAAGAATTTTACCTTAATAAGGGACTGGGCACATTCCTTATTGCTACAAGGAGCCACAAAATAAAGTCTATTTAAAACTAAGGCAAAAATAATTTCTCCAAAGTAGACAGTCTCTTTTTTTTTTTATTTTTCAGATGTCAGAAGTCACATTTTTGTTTGTCTGACCTGGGTTTATGGAAAAATGTCTGTCAGATGACTGGATGCTGTAGAAAAGTCTGCTGGGAGAATCTTCATCATCAGGATCTTCAGCTGTTACATTGGCAACAATGGTGCCCGGGCTTTGCTCCTCTGGAATTCTGTAGATTCTTTGTTTTCTACAAGATAAAATTCAGCAAAGCATGCATCTTGTTTGTAAGGGCAGCTGATTACAGACATAGCTGAGAAGCCAACTGTAGCAGCAGAGCCATGGCCTTGCTGGGCTCAGTGATGGCTATTTGCATGTCTGGATAAAAATCCCAGTCATTGGTTCTGCCAGCTGGACATGTAGCAGTAGCTGAACTGGCACATGTTCATAAAGCATGACACAGCCACACAAGTAAGAGCTCTTCCTCTGCAAGTTTTCCACAGTAAAAACAACTTAACTTTCACAGAACCATGGAAGTTGAAGAGGGGGTGGTTAAATCAAGCCATCCATCTCTGTACAGAGCCACCAGGTCATAAAGACATTTGCTTTAATTCCTTCATTTTGTGAGAGAAAACCAAAAATTACAATAAGTAATGTAGTTAATCATCTTTTGGGATGAATGCTGGAGCACTCTTGGGGGCAACAGTATTACAGAAAAAATGAATTGTTGCTGCAGTAGGCAAAGGCAGGAAGGAGCGCTCTTCTGGATGCCTAACAGAAAAACATCCCTCAAACTCCAGCAGTATCTGTCTATCTGATGCATTTTACATTGGGAAAATGGTTCTCTACTGCTGCTGTTTGGTGTGCCAGTACTCCCAAATTTTCCAATAATTGTGTTTTATAGGTCACAATAAATTGCATTGTGCAAGCAATTGTGCAGGATTGCTTACAGTGGTTGCGGTTTGATGTTCACATGGGTACTCAGGTGGACAATTTCAGAACTTGAACCACATGTAAAAATAGGCATAGGCCAGGACACAAAAATGGTGCAAGGAATTTCAGAAGACTGATTCCTATTACTCACACATGGACACACACATGTCTCCTGATTCTGGAACTCAAAGGGAGTTGAAGGTCCTCAAGAGTTAAAAAAAAAACATTAGAAGTGTGTTCCAAGACTAAATACTTTTTGCAGTTTTAAAACATTCTAAGCTACCACTTAGGTAATTGACTAGTCTGTAGTTTCCAGTACAGGAAAACACGAGTTATTTGTTGTTCTCTGAAGACACACTTCATGGGGCACTTAGCAATTGGAGCAGAGAATTGCAGAGACAGAACAGAAGATCCCATGCCTCAAGAGCTCCACTTGCAATTTTAAAATGGTTATGAAGACACACTATCTTCAACTGTTCTGTCAGTTCATATGAAAAGAGTCAAGTATACAGGCGAGAAATCACATAGGGTTTTCCCAGTAAAAACACCTAACTTACAGACAGAAAAAAGCAAGGAGTTTTTGAAGCCTGTTGTGTCAGTTATTCACAAAGTTTTGATCTCATCCTTGGCACTGAAGCCCTCCCTTCCTTGTTCTCCTGTTGCTTCCAGAGTCATGCAGAAAGAAACCGATCCCACTCACTCCCACCCCTCTAACTGTATTCAGCCCAAAGTAGGAAATTCCCTAGGACCACTGGAACCCCAACTCTAACCTCTCTGTGAACAGCAAACTCATCACAGTTCCACCCTCATAGTCCTACCAACCCTTCTGCAACATGGTCATTATGCCATCCCCACTAGATATTTTGGGAAGAAGTGGGATATTACTGAGCACACCCCCATAGCACAAAGAAACAGCTGGGGAGGAGTTGGGGTCACTTCCTACACAGCTGTGTCTGGGATGTGTCCTGTTGTCATCTGTCTGCCACCTGCCAGTGGCTTTTTACAGGATGGTTCAAGCAGACCTTTTAGTCACTGCAATATAACTGCAAAGGCAGTATATGTTTGTTTTCTTCTCCTTTGTTTTCCTGACTCCACAAGTTTTCCATTGATTTTAAAAGGAACAGTTTCAAAAGCCTGAATGCCAACATAGTGTTGTGAACACCAAAACCAGATGTGCTTGCATATACTATGGGAACAATTAAAAAGACCCTTTGAAACTCGGTTCTTGACATCTATGATTGGGGTAAAATAAAGGAGGTTTGTTAACTCCTCAAGTTTCCCCAGCTCTTACTCCAGAACTAATTATTAGTGTCAGGAAGTACTTAGCCCCAGCATGCAGCTCACATTATAGCAGGGGACAGGCCACATATGTGCATATTAAGGATAGATCATGAAATACAATTTAATCTAAAATTCTTTACAAACTGAGCTGCTCTTTTTGATCAGTAGTGTCAATCTAAAAAAGGACAAGATTCAAACAAATACTAGACTCTATTTGTGCCATATGAGTCTTAGAACTTAGGTGTTACAGATTCTCAAGCCACTGCAGCTTTCAACTAATTCAAACAAATAGATATTTAAAAGAGCTCTTTTAGCATTCCAGACACAAGAACAAATACACAGAAATGGCAAAATAGGAGGCAACAATCATCTAGAACACAATGTGCAGACATTGGCACTGGGAACAGGATTCCTTCTCCTTGCAGAAGTACAGTAACATGGAATCAGCTACTAGAGTTCTTGTTATTGCAGACATGAGGTTCAAGTATTAAGTAGGTAGCAAAAACAACATCAACAACAATTTATGCCTATTTCTAACATTTAATTATTTTGTTTCTTCAGGTTCTTCACCCCTTTATCCATCAAGGTCCAGATCATTGGCCTCAGCCCAGGAGCCACCCACTGCTCTCGGTCAAGACAACACCCAGAAGATTGTTCCAAACAAGTGGCTGGAACCTCCTGGCATGGCCCCAGGTGCTATCCTGTCCTCACTTTTGCAGAGATGGCATCATAAATATTCTCAGCAGGGAACTTGCAGAGTCTCACAATCAGGAGACACGATGGCATTGCCTTGAATCCCATCAGTGTCTCATACAGTGACAAAGATAAATCAACAACAGAGTCAGATCAACTGTGATAATTTATCAGGCTCCTGCTTCAGAAACAACTGTCCATTGTGCTTTCCACAGCAATACAGCTTGCTTGTAGCACATGCATATTTTTCCACATTTTCAATATATCCTGTCTCCATTAGCCTTCAAAAGCTATTTCTGACTTGTGTGTTATGACACAATTTCCTGCTTATGACATAGTAAGAGACAACAAAGTTTCAAAGATCACCTATTATTTACAAGTGTGTCTGGGAAGAGGAAGACTGATCAAAAGGGAGACCTTCTTATGTCTAGACATTTCTGCATGAATAAACACAATTATGATGAAATGCACACCTACATAAGGAGAAAACTCTATATGATTGTATTCACACCGGGTGAAATTAATCTCCTTGTCTGAGCTTGTCCACAGATCTTTGCATAGCTTTAACCTCTGTAAATGCTAACAAGTAAAACAAGTTTGTTTGTCTGTTCTTAGTCTGAAGGCAGCGCCTAGAAAACTTTAAACTATTAAGAACATAAATAAGAATAAATTAGGAACGTTAGGATAAAGCTTTCCAGTATAAGAATAGGAATCATAGCAAAATTAAAATGCTTTTTTCAGTAGTATTGTGTTGTCATAGTTATTTGCCCTTATGTTAAACCCTCCGACTGGTGCCAAAGCAGTAAACCTGAGAAAACACCTACATTTTGAATGCAATGGAAAAATTTTACTCACGTGGTAAAGTAAGGTCTTTCATCATCGATGTTAATTATATTTATATTCACTGTTTTGGTTGAGTTGAGTCCTTCTGGATCTGTCACTGTTATGTTTAAAAAGTAACTGTTAGATAAGAAAAACAGAACAGGAATTATTCTGTGTATGTCAGAAAACATTTCCCTGAATACTATAAACTATGGGAATAAAATACATTCTCACCAGTGTGGATCTTTCTCATAATCAAATTCTTTTGTGGAAAAAATGTGTCCACTTCTCCTGATTGAGAATGGCACTGTTGCAGGGAGCAGTGAATACTGAAATGAAGAGAACAAAAATTCAGTCTTTTTGTCTTTAAACATACCTCCATTCATTCATTCCTTGCCTTGTAGAAAAGGGAAAGTTATTTGCACCATGCAAATAACCTGCAAAAGCCACTGAGCAGATCTGTCCAAGGATGTAACAGCATTTATTTATTTGCAGCTTCTTATGCCTCAGATATGTCAGGTTAGAGGGCATATGGAACTCACTGCCATTGCTTTGGAACACAAAGCAGAGCTAAACTCCCACAGTGCTGCTTCCCTCCTCACCAGCTCAGTTTGACTGGGCAAAGACTCAGGACAGACTTCAAGCTAATTGCTTTCTTTAAACATTGAAGTAGCATCTTTGGGTTCAGTTCTTGAATGTACTGTACTTTATAAAGCCAAACTAAATAAAGCAAAGATACAACATAATTCTTAGTTAAGTGCAGTTACTTTTCCCCAGCTACCAACTTAACATTTTCCACAAGTTTTTCTGAATACCAACAGTATTTTCAGTTCAGCCAACACATTTTCATTACTGAAGGTCACAGTTTGTCCTGAGATTGTCAAAAACTTGATATTAATTTGCCTTGTAAGTGATTTCCTTATGGTCTCATTTAAAAGAATTTACATTGTGATACAGAAATTAAAAATTTTATTTATTTTTAGTCGCTGTCATCTATATGAAACATTTTGTGAGCTATTTTTTTAATTTTAAATTCACAATTTTTACTGTCTCTCTGATTAACTATATCAAATTCTGCCTTCAATATCCCTTAATTTTGGAAGGCTGAGAACTTAAAATATAATTTTTGTCCAAACATTAAGGCTGTTTTTTCTTAGTTTAATATTGAGAATGCTTATTTTTTTCTAGATCAAACCTTTCCTGTGTTTCTGATATGGAAGGAAGTTGTTGAAAGATGATGGTAATTCACATTTCAGACACAGCAGACTACATAAACTCTGGAGTTTTTTGTTTAGTACAACTTACTTGGAGTTTTGCATTTTCAGGATCAGCTGCATCAACTTGGAAAATGCGTTCTGGAGGTGTCCCTTCCAACACGTAGATGGTCACAGCTGCACGGACATAAGAGTACTCTGTTATCTGGGTAAAAATAAAGGACACAGCAGCAAAGAGACTGATGCACTGAAGCTGTCAGGATGTATTACTACCTGCTACATCTTCTCACTTCACAAGTGTAATTCCAAAATCATCATAAAGATCACAAATACTCAAAAGACAAAAAGAAACCAATTACATATCTGTAAACAGGCAACAACCACTGCAATATGAATTGTCCATTCAGGGGAAGGACTGATCTTTCCTTATGGCCGATCTTGAGCTATTCACAGATTATGGGGAAAATTATGCATTTGGGCTACATTTGTGGGGTTTTTACTATGCAGGTGGGAAGAACACAATCCTGTGCTAGGTCCTCATCATCATACCCCTCCTGTCCTGTGCCCTGCCAGGAGACCTCAGAGCCTTTCATCTTAATTTCTGCTTTTCCTTTACACCTGTGAGGCAGATAAGTAGCTGATGGTCTGCACAGACTTAAATGTTTGCTTTACTGAGGCTGGTAATTCAGTGCAAGGTATGTTTCTCTCCATGCCAGGGATTCTCACAGCTGGTCTATCCCATACTGGACTACTGGCAACAGCCTTATCTCTCCTTGGGCAGAGCAATTAACAGGACAACAGATCTTTAGATCACATTATTTGCTTTATGCCCTTTTGTGTATGCTGAATCTGCTCTTTCTGGACTATTAATTTCCACTGTGACCCCTACTGACTGCTGCTCCTCATCAGAGCAGTAGGAATCCCAGAGCAGCATAATGAGTTGTTCCCAGAGGACAACAATATGAATACAAAGTTTAATGAGAGGGAGATGCTTTTTCATAAACAGCAAATGCACAATTAGTGTCTAATTGTGGCTGGTACTGTTAACTAAAGCCACGCAGTTAGACAGATCAGACATCTGTGCTCACCAATTTATGGCAGCTCTAGCTGAGAGTTAAGCTGATGCCTTTATTTGTAACAAGTTCCCACATAGTGTGTTTCATGCTGTGTTGATCCCTTGAAGCGTCAGATTTAATTATTATTAGATTCCAGTGGCACCCATGATATGCAAGACACCAGCTATACCAAGAAGATGACACAGCCTCTTCCCTGGGGAAGCTAATTTGCTTTACAAACTAAGTATTGTATGGAATCAGCAATGCCAATGTTCTCAGGAGGCATCAGTGAGGAAGGCTGAATGTGAGCAGGCTGCTCTGAACCCGTCCCCTTGCAAAAGTCAGGCTGCAGCCAAGCTTCACTGTCCCAGCGTGGTCAGTCCAAACCTGAGGGGTTAGCAGCCAGCTCTGAATACCTGCCACAAAGGGATCACAGTTTAGTATTTTCACATGTTTTAAAACTGAGTATTGAAGTATGCTTGGCCATACAGTGCTGCTATGACAGCAAGTTGTCAAACAGGCTCTCAGTACTTTATGGAATGAACTGAATTGTTCTGTCTGCATGTGAGCACATAATAAATCACTATATTCTGATGTATCTGTTACCATTTTTGTAGGTCTTCTTCATTAGTAAATAAGCAAGATAAGATCTCTTAGAGAGTAGGACACTTATTTCCCATCCTTTCTGCTGGAGTCTGAGATACAGAGTGTGTGCCCTTGTTTCTAACACTTAGTTCTAGGATTCAAAGAAACACTGAATTTTGTATAATATGAAATTCATGAGCATGTTTTCATGGTGATACATGAAAACAAATGTTAAAGTTAGATAGGAAAAGTGTAAGTATGTAGATTAGAAAGTTTCTTAAATAACTAGGTGAAAAAGTAGTTTAGAGAACAGGAGACAAGATGGAGGATTTAGGGTGTTGTCTCTTGTCCTTCTTTCTTCTTCATGTTCTTTTCCTAGGGGTTTTTGAGTAGTAGTAAGTGACTGGATAAAAAATACTGTAGTGCAGCACACAGGTGTTAGGTCATTGGGTCACTAAGAAAAATAATTTAGTTGGCATCTGTTAATTGGGTAAATGGACATATAAAAGACCTTGAAGAGGATATTTGTTAGCCATTTTACCCCTTTTCTATCATAATGCACATAGCTCCTTGTACCTTGTAGTGCTGATAAGAAAAGAATAAAATGCTGAGACCGAACAAGAGAAAATAGCCTCCCTCTCATCAATCTTCAGTTCAAAGGGAGAAAGAACCTAATCC